TTCTCAAAACTTCTATCGCTTCATCTCTTACCATGTTGACATATAGACTAATTGTTAGTTTGAAATATATAAATATAGGTGTGGGAATATTGTCGATTCCATTTGCACTCTCTCAAGGAGGGTGGTTGAGTTTGATTCTTCTGTTTTTAGTGGCAACTGTGAGTTGGTATACGGGCTTACTTTTGAGGCGTTGTATGGATGCAAATCCCCTTGTGAAAACTTACCCTGATATTGGGATGCTTGCTTTTGGCAACAAAGGAAGAGCATTGGTTTCCGTGTTTGTTTACCTCGAGTTGTATTTGGTCGCAGTAGAAAATATTAGAAGGTGACAATCTACACAAGCTTTTTCCAACCCCACGTCTCAAAATTGGAACTCTACGAGTTGAAGGAAAAAAGATGTTTATGCTGCTCACTGCGCTTCTAATATTGCCCACCACATGGCTCAAGAGTTTGGGATCCATAGCCTATGTTTCTTTCGGTGGCGTCTTGGCTTCTCTTGTTTTGATTTTGTGTGTTGCTTGGATCGGTGCATTTGATGGCGTTGGCTTCAACCAAAGAGATTTTCTTTTCAAACCGCATGGATTGCCCACCATGGTAAGCTTGTTTGTCTTCTGTTATTGTGCACATCCTGTGTTCCCGATGCTTTCTACTTCCATGAAGATTAAAACCCAATTTTCCAAGGTAAAGTCATCTATTTATCCCGTCTAATAGATTGCTAAAAGGTACCTAATAAATCAAAATTAATAAAATTGATGAAGGGTTTTTAATTTGGTTGCAGGTTCTATTGGTTTGCTTTGTGGCAAGCACAATGAATTATGGCTCGGTGGCCATATGAGGTTACTTAATGTACGGACAAAATATCAAGTGACACTAAACTTTCCCATCCATAAAATCAGTACAAAAATTGCAATTTACACAACCCTCATCAATCCCATTGCCAAATATGCAGCCATAACCAACCCAATTTCTAGTGCCATAGAAGATGTATGGAGTGCCACTTGGATGGTGAGCATTCTCATCAGAACTCTGCTGCTCATCACAACTCTCATTGTGGCTTTGTCCATTCCATTTTTTCCGTATGTTATGGCTTTCACAGGCGCATTTCTAAGTGCCACCACCTCCATTATGATCCCATGTTTGTGCTACCTCAAGATTAATAAAGCCGCACGAAAATTTGGATGGGAATTGATGATCATTGTGGGGATTTTGGTGATGGGTTTTTCTGTTGCACTCTTGGGTACCTATTCTTCTCTAAACGAAATTGTAAAACGTTTGTGACTGTATAATTTTCAGGTCAACATATAATAAAAATTTTAATACCATAGAACTAAGGGACACTTTTTCCAATAGGGTAAAAAAACAAACTAATTATTTTGAAACTAATTTTTAAAATACTATTTCAAGAGAAGACCTTGTCTGAATAGAGAAAAATGGTATATCTTCAAGGATGACCTTCATCTGGAGTAAGCAAGATGGATGTAATACTTTGGCTCTCTCTAGAGACAAGTAATTAAACATGTAAGTTTCACCTTTATGAGAGCTAGGTTAATGGTGGTTGGAACTTAGACTCTATGATGTTGGGTAATTCAAATCGCAGCATGAGAGACCATACCTTGAACCTTTTGTGTAACCTCAGCATCAACGAAATTGATCCAAGGTGTTGTTGAATAAACGGATGTACCTAGGAATGTGCAGAGAATGCTATGCGTTCTCCACTTTTGGACCTCGCAAAGAGAGAACGTGTTTTTTCCTCTGAGTTTAGTTCTCATTCGCAGAGCGAAGAAAGTGGGCTTTGCCCCAACTACCTCTATCCTTGGGAAACCAAAAGAGTTACCAAAGGAAAGTGATGCAGTCTCCCCTAACCTGGACATCAACGAAATTGATCCAAGGTGTTATTGAATAAACTGATGTAAACTGTCCCACCAATATTGAAGAACATATGCTTGAATTTTCGAAGTAGTATATGGTAATTACTAAGTAGACTCCACTTATCAACAATATAAATAGTGCAACGTTCACGTGTATTTGCTTGTCCAGAGAACACCTAAAATTCTATTGACTTGAATGTTGGAGCTTACTAGTTTCTTTCCTGCAGTTTTTCGCTCACTTGGGTGGTTCCTTCAACACTGAACGTTCAATTTTCATTTAGGTCGTGGTCCATGTTCAAATTGCATGGTTTATTTACCGGTTTTGTGTGATTTAAAATTTATTTACTGGTTAGGGTCTTTGAGTATTTAGTCTTTTGCTTTCCTTTTTGTTTAGCGGGAAATTGGGATATATGACCTATTTTGCAAATAAGTTTGAATCTTTGACTCCTTTTTAAAAATACTCATTTGTGACCCCACCATCGCCAACACCAACCTGAACTACCAAATTTCTCGGACTTTCTCACGCTTTAGGGTTTAATTTTTGGTGTTATCTGAAGCAGCTAACTTGCTTTCTGTTGAATTTTGCAAGTGTTTGTTTTGAATTTTCGAAACTTAGGGTTTTACCCTAGATTCAATCCCAGTTCGTTTAGGCCCGAGATACTTTATTGGCTCCAGCATCCAGGATCAAGAAGGCCACCATTATGCCTTTCATCTCAGTGTGTGTCTTGATTCATCTTGAATCGGGATGAAAGGCATAACGATGTGGTCTTCTTGATCATCTCGGATCAATAAAGCCACCATTTTGTCTTTCATCTCGGTGTGTGTCATAGTCCATCTCGAACCAAGATGATAAGCAAAATGATGTGGCCTTCTTGATCCTCTCAAATCAATGACTATAAAATTAAGAGATTAATTAATATTCGATTTCAAAAAAAAAAAAGATTATTGGACTCGTTAGAAGCAAACAAAAAGAAGTTTACATTCAACTGTTATGAGTGGCAATAAAAGCAAACAAAATCTCACATTAACTAGAGAATAGTATATAGGTGAGAACAATTATTTACACTAATACGAGAGTTTTTTAGTGTGAAACCAAAAACAAAATCATGAAAATATTGTGTGGATCTATAAATTGAATTCTTGATCCCATCCTACAATAATTGAATTAACCTTAAAACAAATATATATGGAGCGATTAGATGGTTTTGTACCGGTACTGAATCTTTTATGTAAACTCAATTCAGTAAAATTACCATGTTTCAGACATTATTGAGGAGATCTATTAACTGTAAATTTTTTGCTCTCTCATATTAAACCATATTTCCCTTGGACTCAGAAAAAAATAAGGAATATTTTGGAATATATATTAACTTCACCACTTCTTACATATCTTCTACATACATTATAGACGCATAACATGCTTGACCAAAGGAGGGAGAAAAGCTATCTACATAAAAACAGAGAAATTACCTCAACTATATTCCCGACCAAATTAGGTAATTACTTGTTAAGTTTAACCTTCTCCTGGTTCTCCTCCATTTTCTCATTGAACGAATCCCACTCCAAATTCTTCATCTGCAACTCTTCCTGCAAACTCAAAATTCCAACAGAATCAGATAGCTAAAAAAATTATTAGAAATATAAATAAATAATGATATTGTAAAAAATGTTACAATTCTACTCGATTGATAGAGAGAAATAGTAAAAATTGTAAGGTAATTATTAAAAATGTATTACTTAATTAAAGATTGATCGTTTAAGAGAAGAACGAGATTATCTAATAAACATTATCAAAGATTCCAAATTTGAGCTTGTTTTAGTACAATTTTAATTTAACCTTAAATTTATGTTTGACTGCTTTAAATATATCATCTGCCTAGGAGTTTTCTATTAAAAAAAATTAGAGTAAAATTCAATGATGACAAAAATATAACTATTTTTAAAGTTGAGGATTAATAATAAATATTTTGAAAATCCATAAAGTTAAAATGAAATAAATTTAATAGTTAAATATTTTGAAGGCTCAAAAACTCATATCCAAAACAAAACGAGATTTAAACTTAAAATATTTTTATATTTTTAATAGATTAAAATTAAATAAATATAACCTTGAAATGTCAGTGTCAGCGGCCATTCACATTTAGCATGAAAAGACAAACATGTCCACGCCTGCTAAAAATATTTCACTTTCACACTTACCTTTTAATTCACAATTAAGTTGAGAAAATAGTACAGATTCATTTTATGAACCCTTTTTCTGGGTAGACGTTGCAAAGATTATGATTATGAATGATACTTTAAGGGGTGAAGGATCCGTCAAAATCCATCTTTTTCAATTTCCACTACTATTAAAATTTTGAAAGTCATTTAAAAAAAAACTACATTTACTTTTTTTTTCTCTTTTCCTGGTAAAATATTTGTATGGTCAACTACGTGACTAATGGGTCACTCGTATCACTTTAAAGTTAACATAATTTTCTTACATCCCTACAATTTAGACATGTAATTGGCGTTAAACAAACCTTAACCAATTCGGAATGTTATTAAATTCTTTCAAACTAAACATGCTTCGTCTATGAAATTTCAAGCAACCACGAAACAAGTATTACTCTTGAAGTCATAATTTTATAGGGTTGAGGTAAATTCTTACATGCTTAACGCTTTGTAGATCTAATATTTCAATTCCTAGAAGTTGAGAAGAACGAATTAGATAATTAAATTTTTTATTCTAAGACCAACCAATATACGTTGGCTCCCCTCCTTCCTCTAGAGCTTCACCTCGATTTTTTTTTTCCTGACTCGCCCCTAACTCTGATATATATTAAGTATTGTTGACTAAAATTTGTTCAAATATAATAAATATGTAAAAGGTGTGAACTTTGGACTTTCAAAATGAAAGAATGTCAACGCAAGAGGGCAATGCCCAAACGGCCACGTCGATCCACCGTCATAATATATAAATACAAAAAGGAAAACAAAATTTTGGCCGACATGGTGAAATTATAATTATAATATGAACGAACGTTACGTCTTTCTGCTTAAATACAGCCAAAAATGTTGGCCAATTAGTTTGTGACCAGCGGATATTCTTCCACAAACGCATCCTTAATACTGCCTTTTATGTCTCTATATATTGACGATTGAAATCATCGCAGTTGCCATTCCAAGGCTGAGCCAGAATAAGCATCATCTTTGTTCCAAAAGTCCAAAGTCTAAGCATGAGTTTCTTCACCCGCTTACTTCTCATCCAACTCCTCATTTTCCAGTGCCTCTCACTTCTCTGTCTCGCTCAAGATTTCGATTTCTTCTATTTTGTTCAAAGCGTAAGTATTTATTTACCACCCATGCCCATGCCCATACCCATTTGTAAAGATTCTAACTTTGTTTTCTATTTGCACTTTGCAGTGGCCGGCATCTTACTGTGAAGCTTCTGGGAGGAGTTGCTGCTATCCCCGCACCGGCAAACCATCCGCCGACTTCAAAATCCACGGCCTTTGGCCTAATTACAACGATGGCACATACCCCTCTAATTGTGACTCGTCCAACCCCTTCGATCGAACTCAGGTGATTAAATTTATCCTAACTTATTTGTTAGATATCCAATTTATGAATTAGATTTATCCTTTTAGGTTGAATGGTGTATATTAATCATCAGAGTCGGAAGTTCTGCATTCGAACACTTGTATTGTTGTTTCCTCACATTTATTATGATTTCTACTTGTTCGATCTTGTTGCAATTTTTCAAGCTCTCAAATAGGGGAAGTGTTAGATATCCAATATATGAATTAAATTTATCCAATCCATGTGGAGGAATGATTTATTTGTTAAGATCCTAACTTCAGTTTTTAGACCAACCATAGATTACTAACATTTGGTTTGTTATATATATATAGATATCAGATTTGGTGGGGAGTACGCAGAAGAACTGGCCGTCGCTAGCTTGTCCAAGCAGCGACAGCACAAAGTTCTGGGCGCATGAGTGGAACAAACATGGAACTTGCTCGGAGTCGGTGCTGGACCAGCACGGGTATTTTGAGACCACTTTGAGCCTTAAAAACCAAGCCAACATTCTGCAAGCTCTTCAAACCGCAGGAATAAATCCAGATGGAAGACACTATAGTTTGGAGGAAATTAAGAGGGCCATAAAACAAGGGCTAGGGCTGGCACCAGGAATCACCTGCAACGTCGATGGATCCGGCAACCGCCAGCTGAATGAGGTTTATTTGTGCGTCGATTCTTCTGCCTCAAACTTCATAGAATGCCCAATTTTCCCCGATGGAAACTGCGCTTCCACCGTTGAGTTTCCCAGATTTTAGGAAGAATTTGATCCATGCCAAATAAATAATATATGTCTCTCTGTTCTCTCTGTCTGTAATTTGATCTGACCACAGATGTTCCTCTGCCTCTTCTGACTAAATGTTCGTTTCTGTCTGATTTCTTTTGCAATTTTTGTTTTTTGGTGTATTTTAATGGAAAATTTAAATGTTCAGCTCATCACCTGATCATCAGCCGGCTTCCAATGTTACATCCAAAATTTTCTGACTTTTTATCCTTTAATTGTTAGACTAATCAGTAATTACATAATGTTCAGAGATTTGTCATATAATTTAAATCCGTGTTTTCTAAGTACAAGATACGAGAATTTGAATCTCTAATATTTTAACTTACTAAATATAGCATCATTCATTATCTGTACTGAGAAGGATTCCCTCTGGGAAATAAATTGTCATAATTCAATTTCTATTTTTGTGCATTTAATAAATCGTGACCGTTGGTTTTTGAAATTTTACCAGTAAACGATGGTGTATCAAAATCATCACAAATTGTGAAAATAGGTAAAACAATGATAGCAATAATGAAGATTCTATAAAGAGATCATCAAAGTAAAACCTAGCTGTACTGGAAAGAAAAAAAGAAAAAAAAAAGTAAACCCTATCTAGAAAGGAAAGAACGAACAATGCAAATAAATAAATTAAAAACAAAGTCATAAAAAATATTAATTCAATCAAACAATTGAAGAAGTGATTGAGCCAGCTTCCCTATCTCCTGAGAGTTGATCGGTTGAGTTCGATTGGATTTAAATACTTTTTAGATCAGACTCGATTATTTAGATCGTAAAAAATTATTCGATACAAAGAAAAAAAAAACCTTATCAAACAATGAATCCAACACAAAACTCAACCAATAAATATTGGGTTGGGTTTGGTTCAACGTTATTTAAGTCAATTATTCAAAATAATATTGAATCAAGATCTATAAATCAATGTTTATTTATATGGTAATATAAAAATTATTGTAAAATTGATAATAAGTTCGGGGTGAAACCTTGAACAAACTAAACTCATAAAGTTTCCATTAATAATTAATAATAAGTTCCTAGGTGTGTTTTCCGGCACCAAATGTTGTAAGATCAGGTAATTGTCGCGTGAGATTAGTCGATGTGCGTGTAAGCTGACCCGGACAATGGTCACAAATATAAATAAATAAATAACTCATATAGTTTCCATTCATTTGGACACAACTCAACTTTACGATCCAACCGAATCCATTATGAGTTGTTTTTGTGTGTGAACTTGAGAACGTTATTATTGGACTTTATGTTAATGTTTGTAATTTTCTCCCTTTTAAATTTGATTGGTGTAAGGGAGAAAAAAACGCATACTTGGAGTGAAAGGTATCTACACTTGTAGTCATGTGTTGAGTGTTCAAATTGGTAAGGACAAGCATTCTTTTTCGTTTATCCATTCGGCCAATATAACTTTTTCGTTTATTGTTGTTGTGGTTACTTAGTAGAGTTTTGACATAATAATAATAATTTCTCCTAATTAAGAAGAAAGGGAGTAAACAATAATAATTTCCTTTTTCTTTTTAAAAGGGTTGACTACAAATTAGATTAAACTACATTAGAAAATTAACTAAAGTTCTTCCAAGTACGAGTACCGGCTCTTCTGTTAAAGCTTTTTTTTTTTGTCAATTTATAGTTGATCAAAAGTATTGATTAATATTAACTTCTCATAATACAATAATATTATGCATAAAGCAAGTGAAAATCTGCATATTATGTTAGTTTAAAAAGTTGGTCGGTGACACGTGTCGACCGATCTTCCTCCTAAGATTGACAAATTCCCAGTGGCAGATTGATTTGCACGAAAAAGCCGACCTTTTTCTGAGATTGAGTTGCACAGTTGAACACACCAAATACAAATTACAATTGCAATTGGATTTTTTTTTTAAGAAATTGAGGACTATATATTTTTTAAACACCAAAACGTTTACTTAATCTGATCAGAATCAGCTCTCCCCTACTATTTAACACTTGTTTTACTAAAATCATTTTCAAACGTGTCCTAAAAAGAGGATTTGACAAAAATTTTAGAGGAAGGAATAAAAATCTTAAAAGAGAGAAATTTTAGATAGTGAGAGACAAAAAAATGTAGACAAATAAATAAACAGATGAGAACTAAAAATTTAGAGAGAGATTATAAAATAAAAAATTTAGAGACACAATTTAGAAAGATAAAACAAAATTAAAGATAAATAAAGTTAGGGGACAAAAATTTTAGAAATAAAACAAGTAAAATTTCTTTTAAGGTGAAATAGAAAGAGAATTTTAAAAGTTAAAACAGTAATCATTTTAAAATTAATTTTCTATTATTTTTTTTTTATCAAAAATCACTTGGGAGTTATTAATGATTGCCAAAATTGTTATTTTAAATTTTTAGTGATTTTGACATTAGTCTAATGATTCTACCAAATCACCTGAAAAATTTAGATTAAGCAGGATGTATCTTAAAAATGTTTTATATTAATAGAAACTACAATACAGCCACGAACATTCATGGGTATATGTAATGTAATTGATCATATAGATATCCAAATATTATTCAATATGAAAACAAAGATTAATATCATTTTTGGAGCAATGTCTTCTACCCAGCGATCTGAAAGAAAGTTCTTTCCTTTCTACCTCATACATTTAGTTAGAATCTAACAAAATTGTTCATCTTCTTGTTAAGAATAATCTCTTAATATAGATAACTCGGTGCTTGGGCTTTTTAGTTTTCCGTCGTGGCTGATAAAAGAGAGGGTGGTAGTATTTCCTTAAAGTTTCTTTAATAAAGTCTTAATTCAAAAAATATATATATATATATTTAGACTTCGCAGTTTTACTGGTCCTCGCAGGAAGTAATTAGCTTGTCCATACTTGAAGAATAATACAAGCTGCAAGTGATCTTAACTTTGAAACAAAGCATAGAAGACGTGGGTTTAGTTTGTTTTGTTGGGTAACCCCTTCTCCATCTTATTTACTTTTTGGCCTATAAAGAAAGACAACTCAGCTAGCTTTCATCGTTCATTGGAACACCAACACGAACAGAAACATGAAACCCAGCCACTCAATCGTCATATTCAAGCTTCTTCTCTTCCACTATCTATCCGCCGTTTGCCATTCTCAGGATTTCGATTTCTTCTACTTTGTTCAGCAGGTTGAGTATTATTACTGCATCGACCACTGGGCACCAGAAATTTAATACTTTTATGTTTCAGAAGTTTTTTCAATTTCGCGTTTGAATTTGCAGTGGCCAGGAGCATATTGCGATACAAAGCGAAGCTGCTGCTATCCCAAGACAGGAAGGCCTGCAGCAGATTTTGGCATTCATGGACTTTGGCCCAATTTCCAAGATGGCACCTACCCATCCAGCTGCGATCCAGACAGCGTTTTCGACCCAACTCACGTAATGCACGACTCCTATTTTGTATCAGGTTTCATCTCAAAATTAATTAACAAATAGAGGAGTAGACAACTTATATGTTAGGAAAATTGCATTGGATAACAAAAATCTTTTATGTATTTCAAAATATGTCACATTTTTTAAAAATTTTCAAATATAGCATCATATCAGTTGTATAACATACATACTGTACAGAAACTCATATCAAATATATATCACATATATATTAGTACTCATGTATATTAGAGATAGTAAATGCATATCATTTGGGTAAGGTTGTTATTTTAAAATTGAACTTTCGTTTTTTTTAAGTACTATATTTGAGAAAAACTAAATGTAATTGTTATTTCACTAATTTTGCTAAATGTTACCATATTTGCAACTACCCATATATTTTAAAGAATCATTCTCTTGTTTGGTCCTTTAATATTTTATTGTCGGATCCTAAACATGCTTCTCAAAATGATGCCTACCAATCTTGATCGACTCCTAATTTTTAGACTGGATGTTGGTTTGAGTTTATGGGTTATGATACGATATCAATCTCTAGGGAATACAACCATGATCCTTTTGTTTCTAATCCAAGAGTCTAGTACTTCATCTCTTGTAATTCTGAAACTTCAATTATTAATCGAGCAAACAAACCAACTCATGAATTATTATTGGATCTGATCCTTAGATCTCAGAAGTAGCAAGCAACATGGCGAAGCAGTGGCCATCACTGAGCTGCCCAAGCAGCAACGGCCTGAGATTTTGGTCACACGAATGGGAGAAACATGGGACTTGCTCCCAATCAGAACTGGACCAGAAAGAATATTTCGAAGCAGCCATGAAGCTGAAGCAGAAGGCGAAGCTACTCAAACTTCTGAATGGGGCAGGAATTGAACCAAACGACGAGTTCTACAGCTTGGAAAGTATCAGAAACGCCATTGAAGAGGGCCTTGGATTTACTCCTGGGATTCAGTGTAACAGAGATTCCGCTGGCAACCCTCAACTTTACCAGATTTATTTGTGTGTGGACACTTCTGCCTCTGAGTTCATCAAATGTCCCGTTCTTCCCAAGGCCAAATGTGCTTCCACTATCCAATTCCCCAAGTTTTAGATTCAACAGATTAATTCTCAATAGGTCTGATTGGTAATAAATTCTGTCTTTCTGTTGGGGACACAGAAACATTAATCTTCTCATGAATTTAGATGAATGTTTGGGAATTTCTGTTTTCTGCATGCCCTCTGAATTCTTTAAAAAGATTCTTACATTTTAAATTTGCCATTTCAATTTTATTTATTTCAGACCTAACTTTATTTATAGATAATAAAGATCAATGCCTTGCCTTCCGTCTAAGTCAATTTGACCTATCTAGTTTGTCTATCTTGTTCACTAATTCAATTTGATATATTATTTTAATTACTTTCAAGCTTTTTTTAAAAAATGAAAATGAAAATAATAAATTTTACAAGTGCCAAAAACAGGTCATATTTATAAATATAGCCCAATATCCATATTATTTTTGCAAATACGGCAAAATTTCAAAAATTAAAATTTTGTGTTTTTCCTTATTTTAATTTTGTCATAATATAAAGAGTATCATATCGAGTACATCAATTATATAATTAATATACTGAATATACATTATGTCATTAATATAACTGATATATATCAAATATATTAGTCAATAATATACTTTAACTGTATTACTAATACATTTCTTTTGGGTTGAAAATTTCGATTTATGTAACATTTAAGTTTTTTTATTGATACATTAAATATATAATTTTTTTTAATACAATAGGTAGAGATACAAACCGGGAAAAGATATTTTTCGCATTTTGAAGGTAAATTTCTTCTCTCTCTAACCTTGTTTGATAATTTCCTCCTTCAGTGAACTATTTGGCTTCATCGCTCTCTCCTTCTACTTTAGCACTCTGGAACGGTGTCTTATCCATTCATGTCTTTCTGGGTATGTTTCTTTTCACTTCCGTGACTGGAATTTTTATTCAAGGTGTTTTGAAGTTGAGATAATTTACATTTCCAGGAGTACCTTTGCTCTTTTCGGCATTCTTGTCCTCTGCAATGCACTGCATCGTTTAAGACTCAAATTATTAAGTACTGAAATGGGTATCTCGTGTATCCCAAGTTGCCAATTCACTCTCGCAAAACCAAATTCGGCCTTTCCGAATAATGAGTTCACAAATCCACCTCACCCTCTTTTCCTTTTGTCCAAATGTACATCTCTCAGGGAGCTTAAGCAAATTCAAGCCTTTACCATCAAAACCAATCTTCAGAATGACATCTCTGTCCTCACGAAGATCATTAATTTTTGCACCCTTAACCCCTCAACTTCGTCCATGGACCATGCGCACCATCTGTTCGATCAAATTCCTGACAAGGATATTGTCCTTTTTAACATAATGGCACGTGGTTATGCTCGCTCTAATACTCCATATCTTGCATTTTCTCTTTTTTCTCAAGTCCTCTGCTCCGGTCTTCTTCCAGATGACTACACATTCTCGTCCCTTCTCAAGGCATGTGCTAGTTCTAAGGCCTTCAGTGAAGGTAGGCAGTTGCATTGTTTTGCTATCAAACTCGGATTGAATCATAATATTTACATTTGCCCAAGCCTCATAAATTTGTATGCGGAATGCAATGACATGAATGCAGCACGTGGAGTCTTTGATGAAATGGAGGCGCCATGTATTGTTAGCTATAATGCAATTATCACAGGTCATGCTCGAAGCAGTCAGCCCAACGAGGCTTTGTCGTTGTTTAGAGAATTGCAAGCGAGCAATCTTGAGCCTACTGATGTTACTATGCTTAGTATTATTATGTCATGTGCTCTTTTGGGAGCACTAGACTTGGGAAGGTGGATTCATGAATATGTTAAGAAGAAAGGGTTTGATAAATTTGTGAAGGTGAACACCGCACTTATAGATATGTATGCGAAATGCGGAAGTCTTGTGGATGCTATTTCTATCTTTGAGGACATGCGTGTGAGAGATACACAAGCTTGGTCTGCAATGATAGTTGCATATGCAACTCATGGGGATGGCTTGAAAGCCATCTCAATGTTTGAAGAGATGAAGAGAGCCGGAGTTCGACCCGATGAGATTACATTTTTGGGGCTTTTGTACGCTTGCAGTCATGCTGGGCTAGTAGAGGAAGGCAGAGGATATTTTAATAGTATGTCTAAATACTATGGAATAGCCCCAGGGATCAAGCATTATGGATGTATGGTCGATTTGCTTGGTCGAACAGGTCATTTAGATGAGGCTTATAAGTTCATAGATGGATCGGAAATCAAGCCCACGCCTATACTCTGGCGCACCCTGTTATCTGCTTGCAGTAACCGAGGTAACGTCGACTTGGCAAAGCGGGTTATTGAACGAATTTTTGAATTAGACGACTCCCATGGAGGGGACTATGTCATATTATCAAACTTGTGTGCTAGAGTAGGAAGATGGGAAGATGTGAACCATATAAGGAAATTGATGAAAGATAGAGGGGTGGTAAAAGTTCCTGGGTGTAGCTCTGTGGAGGTAAACAATGTAGTGCATGAGTTCTTCTCTGGAGATGGAGTTCACTCCATTTCTGTAGAGCTGCGTCGAGCACTTGACGAGTTAATCAAAGAGATAAAGTTGGTGGGATATGTTCCAGATACATCTTTAGTATACCATGCTGATATGGAAGAGGAAGGGAAAGAACTTGTCCTTAGATATCACAGCGAAAAATTGGCCATTGCTTTTGGACTCCTAAACTCACCTCCCGGGACACCGATAAGGGTAGTCAAGAACCTTCGTATTTGTGGAGATTGCCATACTGCCGCGAAACTTATATCATTCATTTTTGGGAGGCAGATCGTCATTAGGGACGTTCAACGATTCCATCGATTCGAAGATGGGAAATGCTCCTGTTGTGATTTCTGGTAATAGTAAATGTTGATATCATAAGCCATTCTTATAGCTGGTACTTTTTTCTGCATTGGCCATGATTTGCAGTTCATTGGGAACCTTTATATGTTTGTATAGCCATGAAGGAACCCAGAACAAGATTCATTTGGATATTGAACCTACCCATATATATTCATCAGTATAGTAAGTGATTATCACATGTGCCGGATCAAAATAAAGTATATAACCATACGAAGATGATCATATTTCTACATCATCAACTGGCTTATTTTAGATACTTTTTTTGACAGTCAACTACTACGCCAACTCCATGTGCTCCTTGTATTAACACTATCAAATCATAGAAGTTGAATAATGGATTTCATTTCTACCTATTGCTATTCCTCCTTACTGCAGCCAAGTTCAAGATGCTGTACAAAAGGGGATCATATATTGGTGATTCATTAAGTTTGTTTCAATTACAACTGCTTTGAATTTAATATTTTACAAACCTATATTTACGTAGACTGCTTTCTTGAGCATTATTTTTTTCTTTTATAAATGATTTGTTATTGTTTTTGCTTCTCCGCTATTATATTTCCTCATTGAAATGAATATTAATACCTCCAAGATATTGAAGAGGCGGCATCTCAAGCAATCACAAAAACTTTGATTACCAAATACATCAAATCAAATATCTTCATTAACTTTTATTAATCAAAATTTTCAAACAACTTGCCAAAGCATCATTAAAATACCTTCAAAACAACCCAATTTTCTTTCTATTAAAAGGATGGGTGAAACTGCTCATTTTGTTCCTATTGGGTTTTTATATTGAAGAGTCATTCATTGCTTATGTCCTCAGTTTGATTTCTTTTGGTTTGGACTGTAGGTGGGCCATCAAGTAGTGGGTTTTTTTAGGGAAAATTAATCCTAATGACGTGTTCAACCAACGAAAATTTATTCAATTATAGTCCATTTCCCGATATTTTCCGATTAAAACCCATAAACGAGTCGTAGAGATTAATCTAACAGAAAAAAAAAAGAAACTACTTTTCTTAATTCATACTTTTTCTTGCTACATATTATATCGGTAACGTTGCTTTGGAACATATATTTATCGTATGGTTTACTTAGAATAGTAAAAGTCTACTCTTTTTTTTCTTTTTGTACATTGTATATTATAAGGTATGATGAATGATGTGAATTGAATTCCATTTCTGACAAAAGTAACACCCACGCAATTATACAAGAAAAATGAGTGAATTTGTGTTGGTGAAATTAAAATCGGGGAAAACGACGCAGTTTTGGCTGGATGTTGAGGCTTTGGGTCAAGTTGGAAAATTCAACTGCCGTCTGTGGCCAGCCATTCTATTTTACTCTTCCATTTTATTCCAAATGACTGTCTGCGAAAAGAAAAGAACTAATAATAATCGGGAAAAGGGACAACGACCCTTCATCTAAACCGTCCAATCAGAATCGGCCACGCCCTACAGCGAATTTGCTTCTTTCTAAAGATGGCTTTACGCTATTGGTCTGTCGTGGCAAGAGGGGCGACCGGCCGGGTAACACGGAAGATACCCCCCCTAACTTTTTAAAATTATTCATAAATCAAGACGATAAAAACGGTATCGTATCCATTTTATTAATTTAAAGACACCTATTATTATTATTATTATTTTTAAAAAGCATCAAATTTGAACAGATGTGTATAAGAGACCTATTCAATTCAACGTTGTTTTTTCTTTTTTACTTTTTTTTTTTTAATTTTAATTTTTCTATGCTTTGACGTCGACTCCAAGCTTGAAACGACAGCGATCTATTACTCACTGCAACTTCCCCTTCTCTCTCCTTCTTCGTCTTCTTCTTCTCTTCTTTCTTCTTCCTCCACCGCCTTTAACTTCCTAAATTTCTTGCCGCGTCGGCTTTATTTTCTCGGCATTTTTTCCGGCGGGAGTTTCTGTTCACATTCTCAAACTAAATTTGGTCTCTCTTTTTTCTTCGCCTTGCCTCAGCATGTTCTTCTCCGACGGACTGTTGAGGTCGGAGTACTGGTTCTTGTTCTGCGGAACGGCTACACAATGTCTTTGGATCTCGCCGTGATTCCGGTCGCCGGAAGTCTATTTGCGAGGTTCTGATGATTTACTTCTTAAAGAACACCGAAGTCTACTTTTCCACTTCTTTCTGTTCTGTGTTTTGCTACTTTTTGAAATCGTTCATAGTTTGGAAAAACTGTGCATAGTGGAGTGCGGACGAATCGTTTGTTGTTTGTTTCTGTTTAGTTTTCGATTTCTTTACTCCTCCATTTCCTTTCTGGTACCGTCACTGGTTTTTTGTTTAATAATTCTTTTAAGAAAATATTTTTTGCGATTGACGCGGGATGTAAGTTAGGATTATTGATATTGCCATTAACTGCAGGAACCTATTAAATATCTGCAATAAGTAGTTCTACTTTCTTGTGCATTTATTGATTCATTATTTTACAATTAATATATGTCAAAAGTTTGAATCAACTTCTAAATAGGAACTTTCTCCTTGTTATTTGCCTTTTGATTTTGGGCTGGGCGTGACTATCTTATTCAAAGAGAAGAAAAAATTAGTGAGTTTTATCCCTTGTTGAAGTCCTGGCCGTTCCTCGGTATTGTATATATATTAATTTTAACCGGAAAGTTGAAGATGATTTTTTTTATATGTATATATTCATATTGTCAAAACTCATTTACCATTTGTTTCTAGATATATATGTTCTTCATGATCGAATCTTTCATACAATGCGCTTTCAGAGTTCGTCTCAAGAAACAAGGTTTCCAGCCATTGGAACTTCAGTTTCGTGATGCTTAATGATGGTCAAACTTGGGCTTAGAGCTATTGCCTATTAGGGTATCATTTGAACGCCAGAATGAAGAAAAGCTATGGCCGGGTTCTGGTTGCGTCCTTGTTTACATTGCTGTTGATGATTTATGTTATCACGAGAAGTTCGTCTCGGGAAAATTATTATGCAAACCCCTTGTACAATTCTATTGATCCTCTTCAGTGGCTCAATCCTGCAGTTCCACCTGCAGTTCAAAATCCTGAAATTGCATACCAAGTGATTTCTGCCGACTCTATAGTATCCAGTCTCTTCACTCAGGGGAATTTTACTGACGGAGAGAATCAATCTCTGCAGACTTGGAACCATTTAAGAAGCATAATTAATTGTACCCGAGGTTTGCCTAATGCAGTTGAGGCCATTAAGGAAGCTGGAGGCGTATGGGATTTTCTAAAAACTTCGATTGAAAAGGAAAGGCTTGGTTATACGAATGAAAGTGCACGTGCGAAAGAGAAGCAATGCCCCCATTTTCTGACCAAAATGAATGCAACAAAGGTTGACAGCAATGGTCATAAGCTAAGAATGCCTTGTGGCCTTACTCAGGGTTCTTCCATCACAGTCATTGGCATTCCAGATGGTCTTCTTGGTAACTTTCGAATTGACTTGACTGGGGAACCACTGCCTGGGGAGCCTGAGCCACCCATCATTTTGCATTATAATGTTAGGCTTTTGGGGGATAAATTAACTGAGGATCCTGTAATTGTCCAGAACACCTGGACAGTATCTCGTGATTGGGGAGAAGAGGATCGATGCCCGCCCCCTGGTTCTGACGAGAATGGAAAAGGTATAGATGTCTATTCATGTTTCCTTTGAATTATTTCATTCAAGACACCACTAACGTAAAATAACTGTTCTAGTCAGATTTCTGCATTTAAAATATGTAGCTGTTTGTATATTCCGATTGAAATGTGTCGTTTTTATAAACAATTCAGGTTTGCTGATAAAAAACCTTACCTTTATACTTTGTTACGAAGCAGGCCATATTTGACTCATCAATGGCTAGGGAAATTGAGAACATTGCATCCATAAACTTCATAACATTGAACTGAACAATGTATTAGGTTCCCTCCCCCAATCAAGCACTATTTCCATTCACTTTGAAGTTAACGTTGTTCATTTTTTATGCTAGTGGATGAATTGGAAAAATGCAACAAGATTGTGGGCAATGTCGAAAATCGACTTCCTGAGTTGAACAAGAATTTCAACAAATCAAAATCTGTGGTGCAAGGAGCTAAAACAATAAAGTACTTCCCTTTCAAACTCGGTCATCCATTTGCTGCTACACTTAGAGTGGGAGTGGATGGAATCCAGATGACAGTTGATGGAAAGCACGTTACTTCTTTTGCTTACCGTGAAGTAATCTCACCCAGTCTTATATCAATTACCTTTACATTGTTCTCTGATCACTCAATCTTATGCTGTTTTGACTTGCTTCTTACTCAGACTTTGGAGCCATGGCTGGTCAGTGAAGTAAAGATTTCTGGAGACTTGAAATTAATTTCTGTCCTGGCAAGTGGTTTGCCCACATCTGAGGATTCAGATCATATAGTTAATATAGAAGCATTAAAATCAACTCCCCTCTCTACAGAAAAACAATTAGATCTGTTCATCGGTGTTTTCTCAACGGCAAACAATTTTAAATATCGAATGGCTGTTCGAAGAACGTGGATGCAGTATCTTGCAGTACAGTCGGGATCTGTTGCAGTTCGCTTTTTTGTTGGGTTGGTGAGCTTCACATGTACTCTTCTTGGATTGAAAAGAACCTCAAAAAAAATTAGGCTAAAAACTTTTCATGCATATTGAAGCTGGCGGTTTCATTGAGTATGAAAAAGTCTAGCTGTTTGTTGAATGAACCACGTAGTTTACTTCCAAAGTTTATCTTGAGGCCACTTCTAAGTCTGCTCATAATGCCTTCAAGTGAAATTGAGTGAGGTGCTTGATAAGATCTGCTACACTAGTTCAAAATTTCATCGGTTGGATACTTGAACTGGAATGATTCATCTGCTGTTCATATTAAAAGTATACAAATGTTTTTGTTTCTTTCATCATCCGTCTCTTAAAATTCACATACTATGAAGAGTACAACCCGTAGTGGTTTACAATCACTTTACATCATTTGCAGCATAAGAACCAAATAGTCAATGAGGAACTGTGGGATGAAGCCCGAACATATGGTGACATACAGATGATGCCTTTTGTTGACTACTACAGCCTTATAACCTGGAAAACGTTGGGTATCTGTATCTTTGGGGTAAAGTTTCGTTCTTTCACTAAATGATGTGAACTCATCATTATGATTCATGTTAATAATCTCACCACTTTGGCAGGCAGAGATAGCTTCAGCAAAGTACATCATGAAGACCGATGATGACGCCTTTGTTCGAGTGGATGAAGTTTTAGCTTCTTTAAAAAGGATCAATGCACAAAGTGGATTGCTTTATGGACTCATCAACTCAGATTCTCAACCTCACAGAAACCCTGAGAGCAAGTGGTATATTAGTATGGAGGTAATTTTCAACACTGGTTTTTTATTATATGGGCATAGGATCTAACATTGCGTGGATAACTCAAGGCTGAAAATTCACTCACCTTTTTCCCACTTTTATGGGTCTTAATCTATCCCTTGCTTTACTAAAAACCCTGGTTTATTCCACCATGTTTGAGTTGGTATGCTTTGAATTAGGCTGATATTTATATTATAAAAGAGTCTGTCGAATATTATTCACACTTTTGAACAAGCTCGCTCAGAATATGGTTCCATTTGCCAATGTAGCGTACTTGGATTAATTTAATAAAAGAAAATTAGTTTTCTTTCTACCATCTTATCTTCATTGGTTGCTCCAATTTAGGAATGGCCTGAAGAGAATTATCCAACATGGGCACATGGTCCTGGTTATGTGGTGTCTAGTGACATAGCAAAGACGATCTCCAAGAAATATAAAGAGGGCCGCTTAAAGGTATCCGTTATTTCTTTGCTTGAAATAGGTACTTTTCCATAAACGATGAATTAAAACCAGGCTATTATATCTTCAGATGTTCAAATTAGAAGATGTAGCCATGGGAATCTGGATTGAAAATATGAAGAGGGAGGGCCTTCAGATTCGGTACGAGAAGGACGATAGGATCCATATTGAAGGTTGTAAGGATGATTATGTGGTTGCTCACTACCAGGAACCTCGAGAGATGCTCTGTTTGTGGCAGAAACTTCAGGAAGGAAATGGTATTAGATGCTGTGGTTCTGATAACTAAGAGGAGTTATGTTCTAAGCAGCCTGGAAATGGAGTAACTATTCTGACACCATCGAAGTAGAGTTAGATGAAAGATCACACCAGGGTTGATACCCCTGAAACAGAAGAGGTAACATGAGAATTTTTAAACCCTCTTAACGACTGCTGTATAATTAGGTGTTACTGTAGAGAAGTATATGGATTTTCAAGAGTTGCTTGAAATTTTGTATATTTCAAGTGACCGAGAGAGACATGATAGAAAGAGAGCTGTAGCCTGTAAAGTGGTATATAGAATGGTGAATCAATTGAATTTTATCAAATCATGCTGTTGAAATTGTTTGAATCGGATTTCTATTGTTTTAACAACGGTTCTCTCACACAGCTGCGGGGCACAAACAAGTACACAGCATCATTTGTTATCATAACTTCATCCTTTTCTGGACAACTTATCATAGAAATGAAAACGAATGTGTTTAGATAAATTAACAGTGTGAACAAGGCATTTACGATTACAACTTGCCTTAATTCCTGGCAAATCTATCGCTGTAAGAACCCATAGTGTGAAATTGCAATCTCAAAGGCTTGCATCTTCTCTCCACGAGCAAACCCGTTTCGGTCATAAGATGATATTTCGTGGATGTTCAAATCCTCACATGTCTTCACAAGTTCTTCACCAACGTACTGAGCAGCTTCCTGTAATCACCAAAGCAACAAATTAGGCCTTTTTCTATTCAATAATAGCTTCTTATCAGGACTGTTATCATCTTAAGTTGGTGGAATGAAGGTGGAAAATTGAGATGAAATCCTACAATGGTGGTGCACGAGGGATTTGGACGCATAGATTTCTGCAGGGTGCTCCCATAAAAGAGGCACTTCTTGTTCTGGTCGTCTACCAGCATTGCATATAACTGCTTATCAGAACAGAATACTGAAAGCCTTGGTCTTTTAGGAGTGCCATTATACTGCTTGGCGTTGAAAACCATCAAATGAAATTAGAAAATAAGTATTACTATGATAATTAAAAACACAGTGTGATGCTTAAAATTTTAATAATGTCCACGAGCTCACAACACAAATTGAGTACAAAAAAACATTTAAGACCACCTAACCTTAATGCTCTCAACAGAAATACAAAAAAAAAAAAAGTGACTGTCAACGAGGCAACTGAGGCAAACTGCTGATGACTCAGTGGCAGTGCTACAACGTTGTAAAAACTAAAAGTGAAAAACGAGGAGACCTTTACAAAGAGACTAACTTTTTTTCTTTCGAATAAAGGGCAAGAGCCTGTGATTTCAGAAGGGCGCTTTCGAGATGGAGAATGATAGCGTACCTTTTTCTGCATCCTCCTATTTCTAATTTTTGCACTTTCTGGTTTAGAGTGTCCTCTTGCTTGGATAATCAACGGCTTCAAATCGCAATCTACACGAAATTTAGAAACTAATATAAAACAAAATCCATCTTCGTGAAGTATTCTATTTAGTATGATAGGTATAACCTCCAGCCAGTGTTCTGTAGTTTTACTCATCAACTTCGTCCAAGAAGAGATATATTGATTTCAATATAGACTAGGAGCAAAAGCAGGTGCAATTTCACTTACTTTTACTTTTCAAGGAGGGGAAATTAAATGGCTTTGACTGAAACCCAAAGGGCGTAGAAGACTTCGATAGCAGACCGGGAAGATTTACAAGAGGCATGCCACCGTATACTTTTTGAAAATCTAAAGTATTGAGAAGTGAAAGGGGCATTTCGACGCGGTCCTCTTCATTCAGGCATTTTATCGAACACCTTGCACGCGACACCTGAAAAAGTGATCGACAATTCAGCGCGTTAAGTCAAGCGGAACCCAAACACCATATTGAAAAGGAGACGCATAAATAGCGAAACCCAAAGGAATTAAGGAAGAAAAATCACTCAAGACTTTAATCCAGGAATTTTTAATTACATTGGAGAGGAGACGTTAGCTAAGAGAACATAAACATCGCCATGCTTTATAAAGCTACCTGCCGAGCCAGAGTTCCGGCGGAATGAATGTGGTTTCGTTGTTGAAGCCTGTTTGATTCTGTACTGTAAAAGCCCGATTGGCGTCTCTGTGGTTGCAGGAGAAACCAAAATATGTTGCCTACCGTCTTCTTCCACGTGTATATGGACGGGATAGCTCAACCCCATTCTTTTTCTTCAAATTTCAACTTTCCGTTTATTACTATTTTTATTTCTCACGATCTATGCTTTACGGCTCACACTATTGGATCCGCTTGAGCGGGATTCGTTACATTGGCTATGGAACACTTTCAATAGAGTGATCGAGCACAATATTTTACGCTACATGTCTATGTGGATGGAAATGTAGAATTCTCAATTTTATATAAACATCGATAAAATGTGATATTTCTGTAAAAGTTACAAAAATTTAAAAATTATAAAAATATTTCAATTAACAAATAAACATTTTCCTAATTCTAAATTAGTTAAAAATAATTAATATTAATATTATTTATATATTAATGACATTTTATTGATATATTTCATATTTTGTCGATTTTCTTGTACTATGATGGAAATGTCGATTTATCTCTTATGTCGATGTTGAACACATAAAACACATGGATATATCATATATTTAGAACTATGGGTAGACAATACATAAGACCCATATCTTTGCCTTTACACTATCCACAGGATAACTATTTTTATTTTAAATTGATTTTAAGTCATTGAAATTAAAATTCTTTGTGGGATGTTAATGAAAAATGAAAATAAATATAATGTTTTATCATTATGTCCTTACAATTTTACGAGGTATAATAATAATGGTATGTTTTAATATCAATTATATATAATAATGAAAGAAAACAAATTTTTGATAAAAAAAACATATTTTTTTAATCAAATCAAATCAACGTAATAAATTAAAACTTGACAACTTCACCTTTATTATTAAAAAAAAAAACCTTACAAATATCTCCCTCCAAATAAGAAATATTAAAGATGAATGGTTTTAAATTTAAAAACAAAATTACATATTAAATGGGACTTATATTCAATTTAAATGAATTCTTATTAAAGATATATTTCAAATATTTGAAAATGGTTGTGGGGTTGAATGGATCGTTGTTAGTTGTTTCTCATTTTTCTCCTAGGATTAAATTTGGTATAAAAGGTTCTAAAACTATAATTCCAACAAATCCGAATGATGTGGTAATCAAAAAAAAAAAACACACAAACAAATCCGAATGATGTGAAATAAAAATTATTTGAAAGAAAAGGTAAGATTTGAAAAATCATATATAATTTTAAAATTTAAATTTTATATTTCATCCAAACGATTTCAAGTTTATTTTGATTTCTAAAATCATTCCATTTAAAAAATCCTTAGTGACATCATTCTTTAACGGATCCTCTTCCTCATCCTCACCCTATCTTTCATTTCAATTTCCGCCGCCTCCTGCAATCCATCATCTCCGGCGACCTCAGACCAGCGGTACATACCACGGCGTCGGCGCAGCAACCAACGAGCAGATTCGGTGTCGATCTGCAGCCCACGAGCAAATCACCACTCCATCTGCAGATCCGGCAATCGGCGTTGGGAGGAAGCGACCCACGGCGGCGCTGCTTCTCCTCCACGAACCAGATCTGCGACCGGCGCGGGTTTCATCCACGAACGCGCGACCTTCTTCGACGGCACAACAAAGATCTTTTTAATCTAATCTCCTTCAGTTCCTACATCCATCGTCCCCACTGTTCTCCACTTCCCTCACTCTCTAATGGCTTCCGAGCCTGACCCCACTGACTTTTCCTCCGCCCTCTGGTTCCCTGTCACGCCACCCACCACAACTATTTCTACACCCGAAGGCACTTTAGTATTGTTCTCCCATACCTTCTTCCGACCCACCCCCGGCTTCCGAATCATCGATCAAAGCCATGCCCACTGCTCACATGAATCAACAAATTGAATGTGTAATTTGTTTGGAGGAGATGGAAGTCGGTGGCCTGATCAAACAAATGCCCTGCAACCATAAATTCCATTCCAATTGCATAGGGAAGTGGCTGGAGCTACGTGATTCCTTCCCCGTTTGTAGATATCAGATGCCAAATCGACGAAGAATATGAAGGTTGAAGACGAAGAATCGAGAGGGAGATTTGGGTGAGTCTCTTTTGACAATGCCATCACAAATGGGGATTCAATTCGAAATCCTCCAGTCGATTCTCAAAATTTCCCCCCTTGGTCTGTCTCTGGATTATGTGTTATTAGTCTAGCTTAGAACAAAAATCTTTAATAGTAACTCATGAATATGATTTCAGCAATTGTGGAGTGAAATTGTGAGTCAATTTTTAGCCGAACAATTCACGAAACAGAATAGATTTGTGATTCTTTTTGGGGCTGCAACAAAACTTCAATCTGATGGAACTTGAAGTCTCAAATAACCATGATTAAGTTAAGTTCACAGAAGCTGAATTGATGATTTCTATAATTTTTTTTTTTTATCTTAATTAAACTCTCCCCGGGGGTGGCTTTGGAGTGTGGCGAGGATTAGCTCCAGAAACTGGATAGTCACCGTACTGTAAATCCATTCTGCCATTGAACAACTTTTGTGGTGGCTGATTCTTCTGCCATTGAAGAAATTGCATCAATTTTAAATCATCTCTTATAATATACACGTGTCAGTTATGATTCAATCATATATAATTACATATCTCTACCTGGTGAGCAGCTTGGGAGGCTGGAAAATCTTGGCCAAGGTGGATCATAACTGCAGCCCCTGTAAATGTAGGAACCTGTCAAGATAAACTGAGAATTACAGAGGTAGTAATTTCAATAAACAAAGTTTGAGGGGGGCGTGTACTTGATGCAGAGACAGTGTTGAAGGAGACGAGGAGAGAGAGGAGCAAAATCGTGAGAAAGTTTTGGGTTTGGCCTGCCATTTCCATTACACAGTTCATGATCTTCACCCAATTGTGACTCACTTGTGAGTGCGTAGATATATATATATACATACATACTTCTTTGCAGGTATTTGGGTTGGTGAAAGCACATAGAAATGTGGGTCGAGAAAAAAAGCATTCCCAACTTTTAAGCCCTCCACCCCACGAGTATTCTAGAGTTTCACGATGGTATGATATGGTCTATTTTGAATTCAAGTTTGTGTGACTTTGTTTACTAAAAACAACTTTGTTCTTACTGATATACTATGGATCTTTATTCTATCGGTTAGGTTTCATATACCCGAGCAACTTGGTGGTGGGGACTGCATAAAGAGATAAAAAGAAGTTGACTTTGTATAGAGAATGGAAAAAAACTACCTGCCCACCGCATAAAACACAGTTATAATTCTGGAATGATGACCAAATTGTCGTTTCTAAAGAGATTGAAGATTGAAAAGGAAATAAATATGGAAAGAGAAGAAGATCAAAAGTAACGGGGAGCTGGATCCACCAAGGAAGTGGAGAATGAGGAAGAAGTCAATTTGGGGTGACAAATAGAATGAACAAACAGACAGAAAACCAGACATAATGGTGAGAGAAAACGAGACATTCATATTTTGAGTGGGAAGAAGATGGAAAATTCTGGGCAATTAATGATGAACAAGTTTGAAAATTATTTTGAGTCAACCTTGTAATGGATTATGAAGGGGAATTTACTGGTTGTTGCACTTGCATTTGCAGTCCAATCTAAGCACTTACTACAAATGTCATCCCATCTGGTCGGCCAAAACTACTCACATCTCTAACTTTGACACAGTAAATTCCAGTTTTTTTACTTTCATTATCAAAGATTGTGCCATTGTCGTATATGTTGTCATCAAAGAGTAGTTGGTGTAAAAAAGTTAAGGTAAAATCAATGTACTTGATTTTCATTAACTTTATTGGCATGGTTGACATTAGGAAGGTTTTAGATTAATCTGTTTCTAATGATAGGTCACTGCAACACCATCTAGACCAAAAATGTGGATTTTGAGGGCAATTATATTATATTGAGAATTTAAGTAACAGGAATGTGAATAAATATCTTTTTATTAACTACATTTATTTACAATTGGTGTATTATTGTTTTGTTGAAAAGTACAGCTTGAAGAAAGTTGAATCTACTATTTGGCATGAATTTCAAATTACAAACTGAACTCTTTTATTATTATTTTTTTTAATGAGATGTCTTAAAATCCCAATTTAGAAGGTTTTATCCTTAAAATAAAGTTTTTGATGCACTCCTCATAATAATGAGATGTCTTGAGATGAGTTTATTTAAAGATAGAACAATACTTACCAAAACGAGTATAGTTCTTGAGTTCAAACTTCCACCTCATATATTGTACTAAACAAAGAAAAAGTATAACAATACTTAGGTACCGAGAGACATTCTTACATTAAAGTACTGACAGGTAGGAGAAAGGAAGGCAGAAAGAGAATATACATTTTCTTTTTAAAAATGGAGATCTGTCGAATTATTGTTGGTGTTCAAAAACAAAACTTAGTGTTTTTAGATTGAAAACATAGAAATTAAATAATAAATAAATAACTTTCCATTATTCCAAAAGAAAATATAAGCTTGTATTGTACCACACTCAAACACAATTGTCAAAATTTCAAACTTCGCATTGATTTATCCTAAAGATTTCATATATTTTAACTAATTGATGGGTTAGAATTTTACTGATATATTTGGGAGTGGGAAGTGGGAAAGAAAAATTGTCCAAACTCCAAAAGAAAGCACTTGGATTTGGAAGTGGAAAGTGGGAACTCTAACTCTGTCAAAGAATATTGAATCATTATTTGTTAGAAATTTTTGGAACTCTTTTACTTCTCTTTGTTTCCATACAAAACTCTCTATTTTTAGCGCCCAAATCAACTCATATATATGTTTCTATTGGCCCAATCACTTGGCTACCAAAAATATTCTAATTAATCTCATTATTTAAATCTATAAGTCAAACTTCTACATTAATTACGAATTGTAATGTGAAATTTTTGTTCAAATCTCAATCATAAATTTATTTAAAACTCATTTCTTTTTTAGTACAGACTCATTCTCTTTCTAATTCTCATATTACTTTGATTGTGATTTAATATTTTGGATAATCATCATAATTTCCGACCATTAACACCATATTCATTTTTGTACTAAATAATTTTACATTCACAATATAGTTTTGATAGGAAATAAATACATGTTGTTGAGGGTGAGAAAAGTGGTGCAAACGTGGGGTAGCCGGCATGGCAGTGAAGACTGGCTCCACTGTAGATGAACGACTAACAAGGGGGCGATGTCGAAGTGGCAGGGACGTACAAGCAGTCTCACGACGTGCCTTGCAGCAATAGAACTTGCAACGGATCGTGGAGACAAGCGACAAAGGTTATACCACGCGCCAAAAATATCCTCTAACGACTCGTTAGAGCTCATATGCAAGTAGGGCCCACTATGCACAATGCCTAGCAACCTCCATAGTCGATTCCATCACCTATGAAAGGGGTAGAACCTTGCCTTACAAAGATAATTGAAAAATCTATCACTTAACCCATACACACGATTGCTCTCCATTTCTTCCTTTATTTGAGCTGCAAACTTGACGTCGGATGACCTTTAGCAAGGCACCGTATCAATGTCGATATCTGTTATCGAATGTTAACTCGTTTGACGGCCATATCGAATGACATCTAGGTTAGCTAGATTTCGGCACTAACACATGTCAACGAGTTTTCATAATTTTACATCTAAAAAGTTAGATTATATGTTTAGTTGAACTTTTAAGTATTTATTTATTTAGTCTATGTACTTTAAAAAGTTTCTAACATGTATTTCAAAAAAAATATAAAATTTCTAAGGTGTCTTCAAATTTTTAAGATTATATCTATCTTGTCCATGTTGTCAAATCTACCAACTAAAACTTTTTGACAAGTTGATTCAATCATGTTTGAACATATAATAATACAAGTGTTTTTTTATAGTCTAATAACATAAGTGTTAAACTAGTAGAGTCAACAATATAAATCTATTACACACAAAATTAAAAGTTTGGTGGGTAATATATTTACCAGTGATACAAACATATCAAAACTATAAACTTTGTAGAGTACCATAATCAAATCCGTAAAACTTCGATGATCAAATTATAATTTAACCTATTTATTTTTTTCAATAAAAATGGAACTTTCTGATAATAGTTGATTTGCTTTCAAAGTTTTGAGTGGGAAAATTTGGTGGTCTAATTGTGTAAAAACGAAGACTTGGGGGGGGCTCGGAAAAGTCCACCGAGGCAGAGGCAGTTTGAAAAAATGAAGGAAGGTAATTGGATAAGAGAGGAAAATTTGGTCGTGTCTTGTCGGGACTCGTTCAAACTGGACACGTGTCGGACACCAAAAGAAAGATAAGTCTCCTAATTGGACAGAGGACAGCCACTAGAAAGAAGATATTTATAAAGAGAGATATGCTCCTTGTGCAACGGACACGTGTCCATTAGGATTTCGTGGTGAAGATGGACGGCTGGGATGTGTTTAGATGGGCTTTTCGTGTATCTTTTTGTTGGTGGGGATCGTGTTCGAGACGGTGCTGATGTGGCAGGAGACAGGTATTAAGTCACTGCTGGCTGTGAGAGGCACCGTGGTGGGCCATCAGCCACGTGTTAATATTTGCCAGTGGGGAGCTCCTACAGCTAAGCTACCCCTCAGCCGAGTACTCGCCAAAAACTCGACGCCCACACTGCCGTACACTTTTCTTTTTCCCTAAAAATCACAATTCTATGGGACCAAATTAATTTAAGGGATTAGATTTGTATCCAACTTTAAATTTATATTTTTTAATTTTTAAACTTTTAAAATATCTAACTCGATAAAAATAACGATTCCTCAAGTATCCAATGTACGATATTGTCTGTTTACTTTACTTTCAATTTCATTCAAAATATCTCATACCAATAGAGATAATTATCCTTATTTATATATTATAGATCATGTTCTTTCCTATCCAATGTGGGATCGATAAATTTCAAAATATTTATTAAACAACAACGTACTATATATACATATGGTTTTACTATTTTATTATTTTATTAAATAAAACTTTGTTTATTATCCTGTCTTATTAAAAAAGGTTTGAATGGAAGAAAATATAAAGGACATTTAGAAATATATGTTCAACCAAAAGCACATCCTAGAAATATGGTGTTTTCATTTTGTGTTGAAAAAAAAAATTGCTTCACAAACTCAATCTGTCACTTGAATTAAATATCACATCAAATACTTTTTACATACAAAGTGCACTCTAAATTGACAAAATATTTTCAAAATCGTCCTAATTCGGTGTCCCACTTGGATTTAAAAGTCATTTTACTTCATTTTCATTTTTATCTATTAAGATAGTCATGTTTTGTCATACTTAAAATGCATTGACGTTTATCTATTATAAAAATAAAAATTGTAAAGAAAATATGCGTAAAAATATATTTAAAAAATAACTGTATCATAGTCTATCAATTCAAACTTTTTAATTTATCGGTAATTAAACACACTATGTACGAGGCTTATTTTGAAATTCATGCAATATTCTAATTAGTGATATATTATTAATGTATTATCGGAGAAAGAAAATAGATGGAAAATGAAATATAAACCCTTGGGCTTGAACAATATGTTACTACATTTTATTTTGGCATAATTGATATTATTATCATTTTCAACATCTTTAACCATCTCACCCAATCTTATATTACATGTTTTCATGAACATTTTAAAATCTTTGATAAGTTCACCTTTAATTATATTATAAATATCTTTTTTATTATATTTGGAAGCAAATGTTCCAGTAACTTTGAGGCTTGTTTGATATGCCATTCGAATTCTGTTTTTTGTTTTCATATTTATTTAATCAAGTGAATTAAGTGAATATATATTTGTCAAATTTGTTTTTTAAAACTATTTTATATTTTCGATGTTTTTAAAATTTTAAAATGCAGAATTAGATTAAAAAAATAAATAAATAAATATATATATATATATATATATATCATTCTATATCATTCATGTTATAAACTTATTTAATTTTTGTTAAAATTAAAATATGTAAAAATTAATATATTATAAATTATATAATATTGTAAAATAATAAATCTACAAAATTCATAAAAAAATGTTAATAAATTAATTAATATTATTTTGGATTGAACTAAATATTTAATTCATAACTATTTATTTTTATAAATATATTACTAGACCTGCATTTAACAATTTTTTAAATTGGGATTTAATTTCCAAGTCGGCTAACAAACATATATTCGAAAACCACTCAAAACAAAGAATACAACATTGTTTTTCATCGAACCCATTGTTTTGATCAAATTTGTGTTTTCATATCACCAACTAAATGGCTCCATGCGATACGACTATTTAGGACTAAATTACGGTTTCTTAAACATCACAAGACAATTACATGATTTTTCATTTTTTGGAAAATTATACTAAATTGACATAAAATAAAATAAATGTATTTATGGAAAATATCACATTTTTTTGTTTTTTTAAATGTCACAAAAGTGGCTTTTAATTGGTCTCATGTAATTGTATAGTTTGTAATTTATACCATTTTTGTACAATTTTAAACCTAATGTTATATATAAAATATATATTCTTTTATATGCTATTTTTGTAATTCTTTCATTTCTTTCAACGCATCTCACATAATATTTACATATACTCACGTCTCGTACTTAAACGTTGAATCTATGCTCATAAGGAAAAGACATTAGACTAAATGTCTTCAATAAAAAACTTCACTTCATCTAAAGATTCTACTTTCTAACTCTTAATTCATTTCTGTAAACTCGACCAAAATTTATCTTTATTCTTTTTTACAAGATAATTTTCTACTCCACATAACTACTTATTCCTTGACAGCCCAAACTTATTATTCTATATAAGTCCATGTCATTGAAAACAAATACTAAAAGTTATGGAAGCATTTTTTCTAGCTATTTGTCACTATATATCCACTTACTTAACTATCAAAGTTGTGTAAGTTTTGATTTGATTTTGTGTATATATATATATATATATATATATATATATATATATATAACATATTTTAAAACAGTTCCTTTTTTTTAGCCATTTCAGCTGGATTAATTGTTAAATAAAATAAAAACTAAAAAAAATTATATGCATAAATTATTTAATTTTACTCAGCTACTTTAATTTAATTGAAAAACCATGGTTGCTCGATTTTAAAATTATGAAGGAGAAAGAAATATATCAAGGTTCAAGTCTGGCAATAGATTTTTCAATTCTTTTCCCCACATCCCCTATATGAAAATGATATCCATATATCAATTATGCATCGAGATATTTTCATTGAAAAGTCATTTAAAAAGGAAAAAAATAAAAAGAAATAGACGGCAAGCAATGTCTACTTATCCTGGAGCGACACGTGGATGATAAATTATTTGATTTAAAAAAATCAAATTGTTTTAACATATGGGTAAAGGTTGAAGAGGGAGGAGTGTAGTACTTGCATTTGTCCAATTGCACTTTGAAGCATTAAACCCCACAAGAGTTAATGGCTTTTCATCAAAAAGCAACCATTTCAATTCACCCAATTGTGGTAGCTTATCAATTTTTAGAACAAAAGTTTTCTTTCCACTCAATGGAACATTAGTGGATGTCACAGGATTTTTTTATTTTTTATTATAAAAATAGCAACTCAGAATTTGAACCTCCAACCTTAAAAGAAAAATTATATATCATTTACCATATATATTATTTTTGTTTTTACTCTCATCTACATTATTGCCATGGATAAATAATCGAATAAAACTTTAAATAATAATTATATGGTTCAAATTTAAATCTTCTAATTTGATTTAGTATTATTATTTTAACACAACAACATAGTAGAGATTTGAACTAGTAGTTTTTTTTGGTGGGAGGCCTTAATAAGTTGAGTTAAGCTCATGACTTTTAATTTAATTTTAACTAAACGCAAGAAGTTTAGAATTAATATGAAAGGTGTCAATACTATTTTTGATCGTATTTTTCTTTTCTTAATTATAAAAATTATTAATATTTTAAAGAAAGTACTGAAAAAATAACTGCTCAGAAATTAAAAGAACAACTTAGTATGATCCACCCAATAAGAAAACAGATTATTATATGGCTACCACAAAATCAAGTCAAAGTGTAACAAAGGCAAAAATTTAATAATCTGAGAGAGAGAAAAATACGAGGGTAGCCATGGGAAACGTGATTAACGGAGAGAGAAAGTAAACGAGGGGGCCGAGTAATTGACCGAAGGGGTCACTGTAAGATGAAGATTGGCGAGTAATTGAGAGGAGTGAGAAACGTCAACGTGGCGATGCTGACATGGAATAAAAAAAGGAAGAAACAGCACAACACTATCTTTTTAACCAATGTGGGGAATCTAACAGCACAATAAAGATCTCCAATTCCATGGCCACATGAAGTTGTGGCTCACAAAAATTCCCCCCCTCTGCTGACGTGGAGACGCCCACCTTGTCATCTTAAACCTCCTTCTCCATTTCACACCCTTCCATATCATCTCCCTCTCTCTCTCAATATTCTCTCTGATCAGCAAAAAGTAGAAAAAAAGACTCACAAATTCTCGGATTTTTCTTATCCGAGAAGCAAAAATGGCAGAGGTCGAAATTAGAGACCCAACAATAAAGTTGTTTGGGAAGACGATTGCTTTGCCACTCGACCATTTGGCTTCTGATTGCAAACTTGTTTCTTCACTGCATAAACATGCCCAAAAGGTAGGAATTGAATTTTCACCATTTTTTCACTGTTTCACATTCAATAATCAGCTTTCTCTTTCTGGGTTTTCGTTTTTCTCTCAGTTTCATGGATTTTGAGTTACAGTATCAGTTTCAGTTGTAATTGCCCGTTGACTTTGGTTTTTAGATTTAACCACCACTCAAATTCTAGATTAGATTGGGAAATTTTGGACTTTATCATTCATAAAAGGTATATATTGGGTTTTTGTTCTTGGATAATGAAATTCAAAGATGGAACCCAGTTGGATTACTCTGTTTTTTAAGTATCCAATTTGGAAAATGAAATTGTTCTTCACGTATCTGATTTTCTCTGTAAATTTGAACTTTTTTTGTGTACAGGAAACTTCAAGCGAAGAATTGGCATCAGAAAAACAGGGAAACGGAAGTTCAAACCAGACGACAGAACAAACAACATCCGGGGTCAGCGAGAACCCATCGGTGGAGAGGGAAAATTCATCTCCAAAAGCCTCCAAAAGCGAAGAACAGAGCGAGACAAGCATCTCTCCAGACAAGACATCGAAAAAACCAGACAAGATTCTGCCTTGCCCTCGATGTAACAGCATGGACACAAAATTCTGTTACTTCAACAACTATAATGTCAATCAACCTCGCCATTTTTGCAAGAATTGCCAAAGATACTGGACCGCCGGCGGCACCATGAGGAATGTTCCGGTAGGTGCCGGCCGACGAAAGAACAAAACCTCCCCTTCCTCACATTTCCGTCAATTCATAATTCCCGACGCCGGAATTCACCACCCCCATCAGATTCAATTTCTAGGAAACAACGGCGCCTTCCTCAATTTTGGCTCAGATTCTTCCGTTTCTGATAACTGTAATCCAAATGGGTTTCTCATTGGTGGAGAAAATGGAGATGACCATTCCAGTAAATCCTCAATTACAGCTTCCAATTCGTCGGAGAAAGGAGGTAAAATGAAAATAACTTCACAGCCACCGGTGGTAAAAAATATTTTACCTTTTCCTCCCCAATTACCGTCCATTACAGGGCTTCCATGGCCCTACCCTTCAGCGGGTCCGCCGCCGTTCTGCCCCACGGGGTTTCCGGTCTCGTATTACTCAGCGCCGCCGTACTGGGGCTGCACAGTACCACCGTCTTGGACTCTACTCAACCACAACGGTCAAAATTCGTTTACCAATTCCTCTGTTTTGGGGAAACGTTCGAGAGATGGGACAATCATTAGCAACAATGCAGAAGAGGTGGTGAAACAGAGGAATTCTGAAGAACAATGTCACTGGATTCCAAAGACATTGGAAGTGGATGATCCAAATGAAGCAGCAAAAAGCTCCATATGGTCAAAATCAGCAGCAGCAAGTTTCATCAATGGCGGTGGCCTTTTTGCCGCTTTCCAACAAGCGGCAAAGGGAAAAGAAGAAAATCACATCGAAAGTTGCTCACTTTTGCAGGCTAATCCAGCAGCCTTTTCTCGGGCTCTGAAATTCCGTGAGATTGCTTAGTTTTAGAGCAAAAAAAACTTCTGATTGTTCTGTTGTTAATTAACCTCTTAATCCACTGCCAAAAGTAGAGGGGAAATTATTGTTATTTCCAACAGAGAGGCAGTTTAATGAAGACAAAACTGAACCAGACATGCAACATGAGGACACTCCCACCTGAGTGGAACACACATGTTTGTAGGCTGTGGCATTTGTTTTTGTCGAGCTTTCCTGTACATTATTATCACAAGTGAGCTACTTCTTCTGCCCTGTGGGATGCTACATTCTTGGCCACAACAAAACTTTTATATATAATTATATGTATACTCCATTAGCTTACTTCTAAAAATGTTGCAGATATTTGGAAATGGATTCAATCAATTTCCTAGCTTGGTTTTCCTCATTTTCTTTACCTCTTTTTGCTACTACAATGATCCTTTTAATATAATTAGGTAAGTATTTGAATCTAAAAGGAGATTGAAATGTTTCTAATCACTCAACTGAATTCAGGCCAGAGATTTTTGAAAGTTTTATTATGATATTTGATTGTGTTGGACGGAGATTAGAGACCACCACAACTTCTTCTTCCCCAAGATTCATCATATATTATTATTGTTATTGGGAGAGGACCCGTTGCATGTGATGCCATCAACTTTCGTTATCATAGCCCTCATCTCCCAATTAAGTTCCTCCTTGGCTCTTCTTTTGCTTCCTTTTATCTATTTTATTTAGGATTTACATCATTATCTTTACTTATCTGTCAATTTCTAGGATAAACATTGTTGTTGTTGTTTGATAGGAATAATTCAGTTTTCTGTTCTTAAAAGATAAGGGCTTGTCTACAAATTATTTGTTTTCCAAACTTTAAACAAACTTAGGAAGAGGTATTTCAAAAAAGGAAAAAATGATTATGAGATGGGATCTAAATCATCATCCGAATTGGTTGTCAAACTTAAAACCAATCATATGTCATTGAATTGGAACCATGAGTCAGGATATTATGATTTAAAAAATAAAGTAGGTTTGAGGGTACTTGTTGGATTTTAATGTTAAAGAAATAGAAACATGGGCATGTGGAAGTTCGAAGCGTTAGAGAGTGACAAGGTGTAGAAAGTCGGGATTAAAACTTCTAACTTTCAAAGGTAGAAGTGACACTACTTGTCTAAAAACACCTACTAGTCCTAAAATGAGTCGCGCCGATCACAGATCCCGACTAAATATGGAGGTAATAGTCAACTTTTTCTTATCTTTGACCTGAAACTTTGACTAGCAAACTCTGAGTGGATGCATAATAAAATAATATTTTTTACGTAACAACTATTTGTACATTCATCCTAAATGTTTTTCTCGATGTAGAAAAAACTTTTTACAAACAAACTACATGCATACAGAATATCATGCAACTCTTGAACTATTATGGGGGGCAGAAACTAATCTACTTACTCCTTGAAATTCAGGTAAAGCATGGGAGAAAAATAAATGAAAATAGTGAAAAAAAAAAACTTCACGAATAATTGACTCATGAGGTGTAACCTTTCTAACCAGTACTACTTTTCTCTATCTCCTAATAACATATAAAGTAGAGATTTGAACTTTCGATCTTTCAATAAATGATAGTTTAACAATGATGGACGTATGAAATCATGAAGAGGTAAATTCTTTACGGTAGAAAAGAAGACAGTGGAAGTTAAAATAAATAAATATAATGCAATGGTTTTGGAGAAAGTATCTTGGAAGCAAAGTTTGGAAAAGAGAAAGCAACTTTACATTCCACCCAAAAAGGCAGCTTGGAAAAAGATGGAACAACTTGTGATTTTGATGTGTCTCCCTTTTGGTGGACCACTCCAAAAACTCACCCAACTCACCACTTGGAATTTCTATCATAAACTCTCTCTCTCTCTCCTCCCTCAGATTATTTTATATAT